TTCCATCCCATATCCGTAAAGTCGAGTAGTCCTATCTGTTGCTCAGGGCTGGCGACTATGTTGAGCCTTCCATCCTATATCCGTAAAGTCGAGTAGTCCTATCTGTTGCTCAGGGCTGGCGACTAGGCTGAGCCTGTCATCGCTTATCCGGAAAGTCGAGTAGTCCTACCTGTTGCTCAGGAATAGCGACTATGCTGAGCATGCCATCCCCTATAAATTATCCCTATCAGTAAAGTCAAAAAAAAAAAATATATTTTGTCAGATATCACTTACCTCCTTGACTGCTGTAACAGAAATAAAAGGCCGAGCGTGTAGTGTCACGCTCTTTTATAGTCGCGATCCTCGTCGCTGCCCCGTTATGGGCTTACAGGCTGGCACGCATTATAAGATGTATGTATATCAAGGCTATTTTATGTATGTATTGGAATATATATTACTTCTATCCTATGTATATATTAGCGTATGTTTATCGCTTATAATTAAAAAGAATCATTATTCATATATAGAAACTATGGCTAGGTACCAAAAATAAACATATTGCAATGTGTACCCGTTAATCCCTACATAGCAAAAACAATTCAATATGTTAGCCTTAGCGAATAATAATTCAAACACAAGGGTGGGTATATAGACCTCTATGTATCTGTGTATACATGTAACGAAAGTAAATATATTACAATGTGCGCCAGTTAAGCCAAAAAAAAATTCAATGTGCATTAGGTGACGTAACTGTTAATAAACAAATGCGCGTTTAGGTATATATAAAAGTGTCTAAAGAATGTGTGGTCAATTAAGTTATATACCTGTTGTAGAGGGGAATGCTCAGTGCGAGTTGGAATTAAAATCTTGTACCCATCATTACTCGACGAAACATTTCTGGTCTAAGGGATACAATGAAGAAGAATTTTTAAATTCCTGAACCATGTTTTCCTCATCAGTTAGCATTTTATAGAGAAATTTTGGCAACACAACCCAAACAGTCATCTTATGAAACATAACATAAGCTGGTTTCTTCTTTAATTTCTTATCAGATTAATTCGAAACTTTCCAAGATTTCATAAGATCCTTCCCTGGACTCAACAATAAAGCAATTAGTCTCTGTGAAGACACATCTCCAGGCTTAGATGGCATTCGTAATAACCATCTCAATGCGTTGAGTAGTGAACATACATTTATTCTACTCAATATTCTAACCTCCTGCCTCTTGAAATGTCTTCCAAGTTATTATCTTACGAAAGAAGAGCAATCTGCTTATTTACCTTAACTCCCATAGTAATGCCTTGGTCTCCACTATTAGGGAAATCAAGAGCATGCTCGCGGAAATCCGCGTTATAATGTGAGCCAGATATTGGATGCTGCTAATTTTCCCAGGCCAACGGTACATAATCACCACAGTCGGAAAACGGCGAACCGACGAGGTGTCGTTTTTCATCACGTCAACGCAGACCGACATGTTGGGTTGGCCGTAAGATAGAAACTCTTATAGTTTGTTTAGGACGTGCTACGCCATCCTCCGCACGCTCTGCTGTACCCAGACCTTAGTCCATCCGATGACTACTTGTTTCTCTCTCGCCACGACAAATGCCATCTCGCTGAATATTATCGAAGTAAGCGTCTTGGAAAAAGGGTATAATGAGTCTTCCTGAGAGATGGAAGAAGTTAACAGAACATAACGGTTCACAGTACATCAGATATCATCTATTGATTTCACATCAAATAAAAGGAAGAAACTTATGGGACACCCTAATACATGTACATATGTATTATTTATACAATTGGTACCACGTTGCATATGTATTCGTTGTATTCAACGTTTAATGTCATATGTTTGCATAATACTTGAATTACGTAGAGATTGTCAAGCCTAATTTCCATGATTATTGCTTTAATCTCATTTCCGATTATGTTAATTATCCAGCATATTAGCAAACAGATGCTGGAAGGGCAAAGGAAATGATAAAGAAAAAACTAAGAGATATGTATAATGAGTTTCACTAATGAACTAAAAAATGTTATATAACTCGTTTACACCTTGAACGAATAAAACTACGTATGAGCCGTGCATGTTCATGTTTGGCGCATGGTGCACCGAATGCCTTTTCATACACGCATTTGTTTCACTTTAAAATCCTAGAGGTCTTTTTTCCGTTTATTCGCGTTCAACTAAATTTTAATTAATTTAGTTAATTCCCATATACATTTGTGTATGTGTGTCTGTCTGTGTGTGTGTGTGTGTGAGCTTTTTAAGCAAACGAATGAACGCTGTGTTGTGCTTTTATGGTTGCTCGCAACCATATCTCACAGCATACTTTGGCTTATTTGCTAGCATCATAAGTGCAGTTCTTTTTCTTTCCCATTCACATTTACGCTGCATAGAGTTTTTTTTAAAACAATCACATGGTGTGAATATTATGCAACAGAGAACTATCAAAATGCATGAATAAATGAGTAGCTCGTGTATCCGAAAGAAATCCACATCGAATAAATTATTCAAAATATTTCGAAAAATGTTTTTAATATTCATTCATTTGAAGCAGGTGAAGACACTGTAGTGCCATTGAATACCCTACCAACCTACCTACAATTATTCATAAATCGACTTTTCAAAATAAGGTATTCTACAAGAAGTGGTCGAAAAAGTTGTCCGACCCGAATCGTTTTCAGTTGCCTTCATCTTTTAGGCAAAGGACAAGAGTGTACCGATTTTCGTAAAAATATTTCAAAAATTGCGTCCTGTAGGTTGAAAAAAAGAAAACAAATTTGCTAATCGGACACACAAGATTAGTTCGATTCAATACCAATTTCTTAACCGCTTTCTAAATCGATCAGTAACAAAAGGTGCGTCCATCTCAAACACTTCCGTGTGTTGCATGAATTTGGACAAATTTTATGTACCCTTGTGCCACAAGTGGTGTCCCACATAAGGATTGTTTTTTTTTGTATTTGGAAAACGTACATTTTATATCCATCACCGAAGAGTGAGAGATATATTCAGAAAGTTTGCAACGCCCAGAAAGAAGCTTCGGATACCCCACAATGCATATACATTCTTGATCAGTATCAAATTCTAAATCGATTTGAGCATGTCCGTCTCTCCGTCCGTAAAATATTCAGAATGTAATAACATTCTCTTGGCCGCAAAAATGAAGATGTCCACTTCAAATTTAGTTTAGAAACATTGGAAGTTCTCGCATGCCGCTTGGTATTGCAAATGGATCAAATCGGCCCGCAATACGCCGTAAGCTGAGAAAACCTCTGTTTTTCAAAAGGAACGACAAATCTTTCCTTTGCTCATTATTCACAAACTATAGCGACTAAATGTGCAAAAATTTGAACACGTAGTCTAAGGGCGATGGTGTAGCACCGTTAGAAAAATGGAAAAACTCAGCCACGTCTACCCAATATTATAGGGTGTCAAAATTTATTTTTTTTTTCAATACTTTTATAAGGTGCATAATCAAGCTTCAAAGACCCTGCAAAGTGTATAACCAGTTGGTCAGTTGCAAAGTCGGAAAGTACGCCCGTCTGTTCCGCCCGTCTCTGCCGCACTGTATGATATCTATGGTGGCGAAAATGAAGATATCGCCTACAAATCTGAAAAAGAATTTTACAGGGACGTTATCTTTTCCAAGGACACGCCTACAACGCCCACACACCAATACGGAAAAGACTTTCATTTTGAAAATAGGAAAAGTCGGTCACCCCCTACCCAAAATTATATAGGACATAAATTTAGTTCTTTCACTTTTTTTGCCTAATTTTGGTTAAGGGTGATGGGTATAAAAAGTTCGGTGACGACTCAATATAATTTTTTACTTGTTTTTATTTAAATTCTCGTCAGTCATACAAAAATCAATCCTACGTAGTACGTTCACCAGTCATCGATATCTAGACAACACGGTTTCTTTTCATTTAAATTTGCACCAGAATCCCTTACTTTAAAAACGCTTCGTGAGAATGACTTTGCAATTACCATTTTTTAATATATTTTCAAACTAATGATTTTATTTATATCCTTAAATAAGTGACTAATGACCTTTTCGAATATTATTATTCAGGCTCTTCTTCTTCTTATTAGGGCTATTGTACTTGCTTCGCCCCTTAATAATGTTGTGCCATAATTAGCTCAACAAAGCGTAAAAATTCATCATTTTATTTAATGAAATTTATTCTATTATTGCTGTTGTTATTGGGACGCACACAATGAAGCAATATTGCATTGACTCCATAACAACAATTGTTAACATAAACTGTGCCATTTATTTCAGTCAAATATTTTTGAATTTTTATTTGTTCGTCCCAAATAGGTCATGACTTTATAAATTGAATGAAGCTATAGCTGAATAGTAAAGGT